TCACTACGGAAGTAGGATTGCCCAACCTTCCTTCTGAGGAGTGGCTGGTGGGTTTGAACCGCCAGCCTTCTGGTTAGCAGTCAAGTGCTTTAGCCACTATCCTACCAGAGCTCGGTGAACATAGGTGTGCATATATCTATGTCCTGGCTTCCACTTCTTTAGAATATATACCTAGTAATGGGATTACTGGATCAAATGGTATTTCTATTTCCAACCTTTTAAGGAACTGCCATACTGTTTTCCACAGTGGTTGTATCATTTTACAGTCCCGTCAGCAGTGTATGAGAGTAGGGACCTATTCTTACACATCCCTGGCAGCTTAGGGACTAGTGGAAGGACGAACAACTGGAGGTTGGCCTGATCTACATACCTCTCAATTTAGCAGCACAAACTAAGGTATTTGTCAAATTGTTTCAAGCCATACACAAAGTCTGTGCTTTTGGCTGTACATGGAGGAAAAACAAATCAGGAACGATAACCCACGTGGATAAGACAGACTCCGGAGGCCGACCCCTCTCGCAGCAAACGCCCACTCATGCGCAGGCGCAGAAGGAAGGCGGCCAATTCTTTTTGTCGAGGCGTGCTCTTACCCCGCCCTTTCCAGCCTTTTCCCATCGCGCAGGCGCATAGAGTGGACTAAGATGGCTGCCCCCGTGGATCTGGAGTTGAAGAAGGTAAAAGAGGGTCTTGAGTGGATAGAGGCCTCTCCTTTGAAGTCGAGGGGACTGTGGACAACAGTATCGACTGAGGTCCGAGTCCCGCAGAGTAAAAGAGGCTCTAGGGGCCCGGGAAGTGGTTTTCCATAGTCATAAGGTTTTCTTAGATTTGGGTGGGGGGCTAGAGGTTCTTGCTGGATGAGAGCCGTTTGGGCTGGGGCCATTTAAGTCTGCGGCCAGATCGCTGGCCGATCTCCTCGTTCTGAGCTCCTGAGCAGTTTTGTTGCGCTAGGATCCTTCAGGGGTACACTTCTACAATAAGCTCCGAAGACAGCATTTCATATTGGGAGCCCCTTCGAACGACTTGCTTGAGCTGCGGCATCTTGGAATTTTCCGTCCCCATTTGCTTTGAAAAACTCCATCCTAACCCGTGCTTTTAGGCCATTTATTCGATTTCATACCTTGAAAGGTCGCAGTTTCTACAGTTCAGAAAGTCACATATTTTTATAGCAACGTTTCTCTCAGAGCCTTGACTTCTCCCCCCTCCCCCCCTTTTTTGGAATCAAACCAAACCCACTGCGGAAGAATCGATTACGACTTACAGCTGCCCTATGGGGCAGAGTAGAACTGTAGACAGTAGACAGTTCTACTCAGCAAGCACCGTAGGGTTTCCAAACTTAACTCTTTCCGGAAGCATACTGCCACATTTTTCTCCCCCAGAGCGGTTGGAGGGTACCAACCGTTAATCTTTTGGTTGACAGCCAAGCGCTTTAACCACTGCGCAACCAGGACGCCTTTTTTTTTTTTTGAAAGCCTTGACAGGAAAGAAAAAAAAGAGTCCAGCACAGTTTTTCAAATGAAATCGTTATCAGAAGGGATTGAGTTTCTTCGTTCAAAGAATTGCTTAAAAGTGTGTAATTAAAATTTTGTTATCTAAGAGTGGTCAGGATTGTAAGTAACATCACCGTCCACCCAAAACCATATGCATTTGGCGGTGGTGAGGTTGGAAATGACCTTAGAACTCATCTGGTTTAAATGTATACTTTTCTGGAAAGGGAGGCAGTTCCAGAAAAGCCTAAGTCAAGAGGTGGGACTAGAATCCAGTATTCTTTTTTCTTACCCTGCACTTTTTTGACCATTAGTTTAGATTCTTGAGAAGTCCAACATCTTACTTGTTAAGACTGCCTTTGATCAGCTTTTGCATAAGAAACAGGACATTTGACATAGCTGTTGCTCCTTATAAATGAAGCTGTTTATTATTTCTCTGAGGATTTTGTGTATGTATTTGTGTCTTGTTTTTTGCCGTTCTTGTCTTGAAACTTGTAAATTTAGTCATTGTGTCATGTTCTCTAATGCTGTAATAGCTCTAACAATATGCTAGCTTCCTTAACAAACTATATACAGAACAATAGGTAATACTTGGAATTTTACATTTCATAACACTGTATCAAATTTTGCATTCCGAAACCATAGCTTTTATTTTTCTGTTAAAACTTCAAATTTACGTTAGAGTTTACTGAGAGAGCTAACAAGGGAGTATAAGTGTGAGTTGACTTCCCAGTATTATTTCTTTGTTGCTAAAACAACTGTAAATGCACTTCCCATCTAATAATAATTTGTTGTTAAAAAACATATAGACAACAAATGTAAATTAAGAGAATGATAGACTTCAATTGGATAGTTTTGACAATCAATTAAAGGGAAAAAAAACCCAACAAAGTTGTTCAAAAGTTTTATCTTCTAAACTTTTTTTCAAGATTTTTTTTTGGATGGAGACTAATAGGAAATTTTAAATGCCTTCCTTTCGCCAAAATAAATCTTTTGAGACTTTACTAGTAGGTGAGAATAAAGTCAGAATAAAAGTAGCTTTTGCCATGTATTGCAGTTACATGACAGCATGTAAAAGTCTTTCCAGGCAAGATAACAAGAATTATCCAAGAACTGCGTTCATCTTCGAGTTAATAAGCATACCAAAAAACAAACCAAACTCACTGCCCTTGAGTTGCATCCGACTTATAGAGACCTCTCCTTGGATTTTCGAG